GAGGAGGAGGAGGAGGAGGAGGAGGAGGAGGAGGAGGAGGAAGAGAGGAGGATGAGGAGGACGAGGAGGAGGAGGAGGAGGAGGACGACGACGACGACACGCGACAGCTCCTCCCCCCCGCCCCCACAGGAGCGGCGCAGAAGAAGGGAGCCCTCTTCGCCGCCACCAGCGCGCAAGCTGCCCGCGTAAAGGCCGCGCGTCGGCCACCGCGTAAGGCCGCTGCGTCATCTCGCACAAGGCCCCTTTCTTTTCACCGCTCACCCGCGCGCCACCAGCAGAGGGCCTGCCCCGCAGCGCGCGGGGTCATGGCCACACGCGGCGGCCAGGACGAGCAGCTCCTCGCGGGGCCGGACGCGGCCCTGGGCGCGGCCCCGGGCGCTCCGGGCCTGGAGAGCGGCGGCGCCGAGGCCGGGAGGGCGCCGAACTGCACGCCAAGCACCAACCCTCGACCTGCTGGGCGGGTCCTGGGCCTGGGGCTCGACTCGAGGGGGGGAAAGGCACCGACGCCCGTTCTGTGTTCCCGCTGCAGCGCTGGCGTCATTTCCCGTGCCATGCCACGGCATGCAATGCAATGCTAGGTTGATACTACGCTTTGCGGTGCTCTTCTACGCCATTGCCACGCCGTGCTCTACAATGCATCGCGTACACTTTCGGGATCACTGCCCTGCTCGACATCCGACTGTGCGAGTAGAGAGGGGATCTACGCCATGGTAAGGGATGGGAGGGAGGGGTAGGATGTCAGATATGACGCGAGCGCACCTAGCTTGATATGAATAATACTCTCCTCCTTCCCCTGATGACGGGTTGGGAGCGTTCGCCCCCCACCCCCGCGTATTGTTTTTTACACAGGATTCCCCGGAGTTGGGTTTTCGCCTGCATGTTTTTTTTAATGCTGCTCTCGTTGAGGCGCCAGCCTCATTTTCGGGCCCCGCTCGTTCCGAATCGTGCTCCCGCTGCAGCGCTGGTCTCATTTCCGTGCTTCCGTTCGTTCCGAATCGTGCTCCCGCTGCAGCGTTGGCGTCATTTCCGCGTTTCCGCTCGTTCCGAATCGTACTCCCGCTGCAGCGCTGGCGTCATTTCCCGTGCCATGCCACGGCATGCAATGCAATGCTAGGTTGCGTTCCGCTGCGCGATGCCATGCGACGATTTGATCTTCAACGCCATGCTATGCACTGTTATGTTCGGGGCCGCTGTGCGATGCCATGCTTTGCGTTGCAAAGCTTTGCGATGCAATTCTTCACTACGCCACGCCACGCCATGCTGTGACATACTACGCTTCGCGGTGTCCTTTCTACGCCATGCCACGCCGTGCTCTACAATGCATCGCGTACCCTTTCGGGATCATCGCCCTGCTCGACATCCGACTGCGCGAGTAGAGAGGGGATCCACGCCATGGTAAGGGATGGGAGGGAGGGGTAGGATGTCAGATATGACGCGAGTGGACCTAGTTTGTTTTCCTCCTCCTCCTCCGCCTCTGCCTCCTCCTCCTCCTCCTCCTCCTCCTCCCTCCTCCCCGCTTCCCTTCCTCCTCCTCCTCCTCTTCCTCCTGTCCTCCTCCTCTTCCTCCTCCTCCTCCTCCTCCTCCTCCTCCTCCTCCTCCCCCTCCTCCTCCTCCTCCTCCTCCGATTCCTCCTCCATCCTCCCCCTCGTGGGGTGCGACGGCTTCCCCAGCCCTTTCTTCCACTGCATGTTCTTCGACATCCTTGATCAGGGTAACTCGCCAGGGCATCGTTTCTGGATGGGCTGATGAAGATACGCGAAGCGTCTGGAATAGCGATGGTGGTGGCGATGGTGACGACAACCATAGCAAGGCCGATGACGGCGCCGATGCTGGCTACAGCGACAACGACGACGATGAGGATGAGGATTATGATGATGATGCTGTTGATGATGATGATAATGACGATGATGACGATGATGACGATGATGATGATGATGATGATGCTGATGATGATGATGTCGATGGGTCGGTGATTGTGATGATGCTGGCAACAATGGCGGCACGTGAAAGTGACAATGGCGGCGGTGATGCGATGGCGTTGATGAGGGCGATGAGGAATTGCGCGCGCGCAAGATTTCAATATATATATATATATATATATGTATGGTGATAATGTTGTTGAAACACGCTTGGTATCGTTTACACTTGTTGTTGGAGAGCTCTATCATGGAATGTTTCGAACACCAATGGTTTGGGACAAATTATGACGCGCGCGTGGCTGCTCGCGCATGTGGCCCGCATATTATTATTTGAAACGGATCCGTGGTCTGGGCGCATGCTAGATCAACGCGGATGCACCGCATGGTGAGATGATAATGCGACTTCTGAACGAGATTGCTAAACTCATACGGTTCTCATATGTGTTCAGCAAGTGCACGCGGGCCAAACATGTGCAAAAATTGTGTTGGGACGCCAAGTCGTTTGAACATGTGTCGGAATGCTTGCAAAACGAAATATGGTTCGTACGATTCCGGTATGTGCGCGCGGACCTATTGCTATGTTTTGCCATGACCAACTTGTCTTCGGAAATAAACGAGTGTCAGCGCAAAGAAATATCTGACAAGGATGAGGGTTTCTTCAACGGGGGAGCAACGTGGTGAAAATTATTTCGTGCAAGCAACGCGGTGCAAGCTATGTGGCGTAACCTAAGTTATACAATATACGTGGTGATAAGCGGTGCAAACATGTGGCTTCAGCTACGTGGTGCAAGACATGTGGTGCTAGATGTGTGGTGCAAGCTGTGTGGTGGAAGATGTGTGGTGCAGTCTACGTGGTGCAAGCTGCGTGGTGCAAGCTACGTGGTTCAAGTTATGTGGCGCAAGCTATGCGTGGAGAGCGCTGCGTGGTGCAAGCTGTGTGGTGTAAACTACGTTGTGCAGTCTACGTGGCGCTACATGGGGTAAGCTACGTGGGGCAAGCCTTGTGGTACACGCTAGGTTGTGCGAGCTGCCGGGGCGCCCACGCAACGACCACGGGCGGGCGGCCAGGCGCAGCCGCGGCATGCCCCCCCGAGCACGGGGCGCGACCCCGGGCGGCTGCCGGGCGCAGCCGCGGCATGCACCCCGAGCGCGGGGCGCCCTCGAGGCGACCACGGGCGCGCACCCGGCGGAGCACCTCGGCGCACCCCTCCCGACGGGGTCCGGGGCCCCCCCGACGCGGGGCGAGCGTGGCTCTGCGGCCGAGCACGGGGAAGCGCCGGGCACCAACGCCAGGGGGGAAGGGAGCCGACGCCCGACGGGCCCAGCCCATTGCCACCTGCGTGCGTGGCCGCCCACGGGCGGCCGCGAGACGGCCACGGGGCTGGCAGCGGGCGGAGAAGGCGCCGGCAGATCCTCCCGGCGCGGGGCCCCCACGGGCGGGCACCGACCGAAAACCCGGCGCCCCTCCGATCACTCACACAAGCCAGAGAAGAACCCTTGGGAGAGCAAGCGCTGTTTGAGGGAACAACTTCCAGAACATCCCGACCCTTCCCCCAGGGCCAGCAATTCATCCGGAGCTGTTTTTTTCAACCCACCTCTCGTCCACAACACGCGACACCCACTTCACAATGAGATGGATGAGTCGACGAAGGTAAGGCTCAAAAATCCGAGTCCAGCGACGATTAAAACCAGGCGGCCAGCCTCAGAGAAAGATGTGGGGTAAACCCGAGACGGGGCAGACCCCGCGACCTTAGCACATCTTGGCCAAGGCAATTGGAATAACCCCGGCACCCACCCGCAAAAGCGGGTACACTTTCGAAACGTCTCACCGAATTTGCAAATATCTAAAAAGACTTGGGGCACCGTCTCTCCCGTTGCCTCCTGGCGTTTCCAGTTGTCTCATGTTGCCACCCGCTGCTGTGCTTTCCTTTGGCCTCCAATTGCCGTTGTCTGCCGTTGTCTCACGCTGTTCCCCGTGGCCTGTCGTCGTGCCATGAATATGTGCGAGTGGCAAGGCAAGGCAAGGCAAGGCAAGAAGGCCATGCATCCTGAAGGACGCGTGGGCAGGCAAGGACACTCGTGGTTCCTGCCGTGATTCGCTGCGGCAGACAATCGGCGCCAGCGCGGACTGGACTGAACAGCCCGAGAGGAGGAGGAGGAGGAGGACGGAGGAGGAGGAATCCCCAATCCGTGCTTTCGCCCGCGTGGCGGCACCGTGCCGCCTCGCAGGCGCCTCTTTGGGTGCCCCCCGCGCTTAAAGGGGCACACCGCCGCACGCGGCCGCCGCGCTGCCGCCCCGTGGACGCGCCCCGTGGGCGCCCCGCGCGTCGTGCGTGCGCGCCGCATCCTCCTCCTCCTCCTCCTCCTCCTCCTCCTCCTCCTCCTCCTCCTCCTCCTCCTCCTCCTCCCTCCTCCTCCTCCTCCTCCTCCCTCCTCCTCCTCCTCCTCCTCCTCTCCTCCTCCTCCTCACTCCTCCTCCTCCTCCTCCTCCTCCCTCCTCCTCCTCCTCCTCCTCCCTCCCCTTTCCCTCCTCCCCCTCCTCCCCCTCCGCCCCCTCCTCCGATCCAGAGCACGATTCTCCCCGTGCGGTCGTCGCCGACGAATCGCCAATGTCTCCGCGATGCGGCGGCGATCCTCCGGCCCCATCAGTGGCGGCCCCGCCCGAGATCCGGCGTCGCGAGGAGACGTTGCAGAGCGGGGTGTGGCAGAGGGAGCCTGGGCCAGATCTGCCTGCGGCGGTCCTGGGGTCCGAAATGGGGCGGAAATTCCCGGTGCGAAAAACAGTCACAGGGTCCTGCGCAGGACGCTGGAGTGTGGTACGCTCGAGCGGCGGCTGGTCGGTAATTCTTCAGTCACCCACTATCGTCTACGCCTTCGGCGAAGGGCGCCTTAGGGCAGAAGCACCCTGCCAGCAACTGTAAACTAGCCTAGCGAAGGACCCAACCATGCAGTTGTGAGTAACGCAGTTGTGAGTATCGTCTTCGGTGGAGCTCCCTATGAGGCCACGAAACGTGCGCGGGGCGTGCCGACATGGGTGTCGGGGGCGCATATGGGTACCGCCACTGGGGCCATCGGTGGAGTTCCCGATGGGCCACGAAACGTGTGAGGGGTGTGCTGAAATTGATTGCGGGGACGTTGTGGGCACCGCAATTGGGGCTTTGCGGAAATGAGTGCCGGGGACGCATGTAGGCACCGCCATTGGGGCCGTCGGTAGAGTTCCCAATGGGGCCACGGAACGTGAGAGGGGTAGAGCTCTATTTGGGACCACGAAACGCTTGAGGGGTATGCCGAAATGGGTGGCGGGGACGCATGTGGGCACCGCCACTGGGGCCATCGGTGGAGTTCCTTATGGGGCCGCGAAACGTGCGCGGGGTGTGCGGAAATCGGTGGCGGTAACGCAGGTGGGCACCGCCATTGAGGCCTTCGGTGGAGCTCCCCATTGTGCCACGAAGCGTGCGAGGGGCGTGCCGGCACGGGTGGCGGGGACGCATGTGGGCATCGCCACTGGGGTTTTGCGGAAACGGGTGTCGGGGACGCATGGTGTTGTCGGTGGAGCTCCCGTTGGGGCCATGAAACGTGTGAGCGGTGTGCCGACATGAGTAATGGTAACGCCATGCGAGCGCAGCCACGGGGGCTTTCGGTGGAGCTTCCTTTGGGGCCACGAAACGTGTGAGGGGTGTGCTGAAGCCATGTGAACGCAACTAGCGCCTTCGGCGGTGCTCCTTCTGCGGCCACGAAACGTGCGAGGGGGGTGCCGAAATCGGCGCGGTGGGAGCATGCGAGCGCAGCCATTGGGGCCTTCGGTGGAGCTCCATGTGGGGCCACGAATCGTGTGAGGGGTGTGCCGAAATGGGGGCAGTGGCGCCATGTGTGCGCAGCCACTGGGGCCTTTGGTGGCGTTCCCCGTGGGGCCACGAAACATGTGAGAGGCGTGTCGAAATGGGTGCTGCGCCGCCAAGTGGACCTTGCCACTGGGGCATCCGGTGGAGCTTCCTATGGGGCCACGAAACGTGCGAGGGGTGTGCCGAAAAGGGTGCGGTGGCGCCATGCGAGCGCAGCCATTGGGGCTTTCGGTGGAACTCCTAATGAGGCCGCGAATCGTGTGAGGGGTGTGCCGAACTGGGCGCGGTTGCGCCATGCGAGCGCAGCCACTGGGGCTTTCGGTGGAGCTCCATATGGGGCCACGAAACGTGCGAGGGGTGTGCCGAAATAGGGCGCGGTGGCGCCATGCGAGCGCAGCCACGGGGGCTTTCGGTGGAGCTCCCTGTGGAGCCACGAAACGTGTGAGGCGTGTCGACATTGTTGCGGTGGCGCAATGCGAGCGCAGCCATTGGGGCCTTCGGTGGAGCTTCTTGAGGGGCCACGAATCGTGTGAGGGGTGTGCCGAAATGGGCGCGGTGGCGCCATGCGAGCGCAACCGTTGGTGTTGTCTGTGGAGCTCCCTACGGGGCCACGAAACGTGTGAGGGGTGTGCCGAAATCGGTGCGGTGGCGCCATGCGAGCGCAGCCATTGGGGCCTTCGGTGGAGTTCCCCATGGGGCCACGAAACGTGTGAGGTGTGTACCGATATGGGCGCGGTGGCGCCATGCCATTGCAGCCACTGGGGCCTTCGGTGGAGCTCCTTGTGGGGCCACGAAACGTGTGAGCAATGTGCCGACATGGTGGACATGCGGAGAGCAGAGGCAGGGACGGGATGAGGAGGAGAAGGAGGAGGAGGAGGAAGGAGGGAGAGGAGAGGAGAGGAGAGGAGACGCGGAGCGCTGCTTCTGCAAAGCGAGGACCCAACACCACAGGGCGGTTGGGAACAAACACCAGCTGCAACGCCCAGGTCTCAGGCTCCGAAATCTGGCAGTGTAGCGCGGTGCGGCTGGCGCCCTCCTGCCAGGGGGAGCCGCGCACCTGGCGGCTGCGCGCGCGCGCGGTCTTCGCCGCGCTGGTGGCCTGCGCCGTGCTCGCCGCGGTGGCGCCGGTCGGTCCCGGGGCGGCCGTGCGCGCCCTGGCGCACCAGGCTCGGGGGCGGCACAGAGGGGGGTGAGGACTAGGGGGGGGGTGGATATCATGGCGGGGGCCATGATATTTCCCCAGATTTCATGGCGCCGCTTCTTGTTTCGTTACGTCCCTGGCCCCCCCCGCTGGGCCGCGCACATGCCGCCGGCCATGATTTGCACCCCCCCCTCTTGGACACCCCCCTCGTGGCCGCTCCCGACAGGCGCGCGCGGCCGTGCAGCAGGTCGGCCCAGGAGCGCTGGGCTCCGCTGTGTCGCTCGCTGCGTCCGCGGAGGAGTATACCGAGATGTTGGACGCGGTGAACACGGAGCGCATGAAGCACGGGCTCAGCTCCCTCTGCTACAATGACAAGCTCAACAAGGCCGCGCAGGCGCACTCCGACGCGATGCGGTCGAGCGGGAAGTTGTCGCACTGCTGCGGTGACAGTGACGGCAGCAGTGTAGATGCCCGCGTTTCGCAAGAAGGCTACAATTGGAGGGGGACGGAGGTCTTCGAGAACATCGCAAAGGACACGCGCAGTCTCTCCTCTGTGATGGGTAGCTGGCTGGCCGACAGCGAGGCCCAGGCCAACATCCTCAAAGGTGGCATTTCCCACTTCGGCTTCGCCAAGAGTGGCGACTATTGGACACAGGTGTTCGCCTCTCCCCGGGGTCCCGAGGCCTGCATTCGGGCCGGGGGCGGAGCGGATGGGCACGGCGGGCAGTGCAGAGATTTCGTGCCCGCGGGCGAGTCATTCTGGCACGATTCCGACGGGCACTGCTACCATTGCGATTGGTACGCCGTGGGCAACAGATGCAAGGAGCACGGCCACGCTTACGAGAAGTTCGGCCACACCGCCAACACGGCCTGCTGCGCTTGTGGTGGCGGCGGCGGCGGTTGTGTGGATTTGGTGCCCGACGGGATGGACGTGTGGTACGACTCGGATGGCGAGCACTACCACTGCGACTGGTATGGAGCAGAGGGCGGTACCGACTGGACTGGAGAGAGACTTAATCGTTGCACGGCATACGGCGACCACAGCGCCAATGGGGGCCTCACGGCCAGCCAGGCCTGTTGCGTTTGCGGCGGTGGCTACACTCCCGCCGAAGGATCGCCGCCAGCACCAGCGCCCCCGCCCCCCAGTGGTTTGGATTGCGGGCATCACTGCGAGAATAGTGGGGATTGCGCTCCGGCCCTCTTCTGCTGACCCTATCACCATCTGTGTATGGACAGAGCGACATCATCAACTGCTGGGCCGAATTGCAGGTAGGTCAGTGATAACACAATTGAGTGGGCGACTGCTCACCTGCGTGCAGTAGCGCGTATGTACTTGGAGCGTCGATCTCGTGAGTAGGCCAGAAGCCTGTACCTCAGTGTGCTTTTGACGGATGAAGGCATTACAGGCGGGACCGTCCGAAGCACAAGTTCTGTCTGTTGCCCGATTAGTTGGGAGTCTTACGTGTATTAGGTGTTTGGTTTCATTGTCGAGCGATTCGGCTCCTCGTCCCACAGTTTAGGATGCAACACTTGGAAGGTTCAGTTCAGCATCGGCGCTGGTATGTCCGTGGTCGAACATCGGGCTAGTCTGGCATAGTCCTTGTTAATCCGACTTGACCCCGAGCTCAGTCCCAGGTTAAGTCCGGGCGAGTCCGGTTTAATCCCCCCAAACGGGCCAAACAGTTTTAAATCGTTGTTGCAAAGATTTCTCAGCAGTTGCCTCCTAACACAATTCGATGCGCACATGCGCGGCGTCACGAAGGCGTCCCACTCCTCTGCGCAGCCGCACGTCCCAGACTTGATGAAGGCGTTGCAGACGCTGGCTTTGGCTTGATGTTCTTGCCTTGGCCTGACTGGCTGGGAGGCAGTACGTGCCAGCGCGAGTGCGGTTTCCTTCCGCTGAGGGTAGATAGGATAATTTTTCGGGGGGGAAGAGGGTATCTATGACACGCCGAAGTTGGGAGCCCATCTGCATGTTTTTCCTTCGCTTGTGTCAGAGACCTGGGTGCTTTTTACCTAACAGCTTTTGCTGATAGGCTTCTAGTGGGGTCAAAAGAGAGCAGCAGATGACTCCACAGGGGGGTCGGGGCGGCATCCGGGGAGCTGTGTCCGAACTCGTGTCCGAATTCGTTTTTCGCAAACAGTCACACACTTCGTGCTCTTCGACCTCCCAGAACTCCATTCCCGGGCCACATTCTGAATGCCCGGAGCCAACTGTAGGCCACTTCGTGCTCTTCGACTTCCCAGAACTCCATTCCCGGGCCACATTTTGAATGCCTGGAGCCAACTGTAGGCCACTTCGTGCTCTTCGACTTCCCAGAACTCCATTCCCGGGCCACATTTTGAATGCCCGGAGCCAACTGTAGGCCACTTCGTGCTCTTCGAGCGCCCAGAACTCCGTTCCCGGGCCACATTCTGAATGCCCGGAGCCAACTGTAGGCCACTTCGTGCTCTTCGAGTGCCCAGAACTCCGCTCCCGGGCCACATTTTGAATGCCCGGAGCCAGCTGTAGGCCACTTCGTGCTCTTCGAGTTCCCAGAACTCCATTCCCGGGCCAAATTTTGATGCTGATGCAGAGGCTGAGAATGGTGATGCTGAGGCTGAGGCTGAGGCTGAGGCTGAGGCTGAGGCGGATGCAGGCTGATGCTGAGGCAGGCTGAGGCACAGAGGCTGAGGCTGAAGGCAGACTGAGGCTGAGGCTGAAGCAGGCTGAGGCTGAGGCAGGCTGAGGCTGAGACTGAGGCAGGCTGATGCTGAGGCAGGCTGAGGCTGAGGCTGAGGCTGAGGCTGAGGCAGGCTGAGGCAGGCTGAGGCTGAGAGGAGGCTGAGGCAGGCTGAGGCAGGCTGATGCTGAGGCAGGGTGAGGCTGAGGCTGAGGCTGATGCAGGCTGAGGCTGAGGCAGGCTGAGGCCGAGGCCGAGGCTGAAGGCAGGCTGAGGCTGAAGCAGGCTGATGCTGAGGCAGGCTGAGGCTGAGGCAGGCTGAGGCACAGAGGCTGAGGCTGAAGGCAGACTGAGGCTGAGGCTGAAGCAGGCTGAGGCTGAGGCTGAGGCAGGCTGAGGCTGAGGCTGAGGCAGGCTGATACTGAGGCAGGCTGAGGCTGTGACTGCGACTGCCGCTGCCACTGCGACTGTCATCGCGAATGCGACTGCGACTGCGAGAACAGCAGAACTCTACAACTGGATTCTCATCTGAATCTTAAGGGGAATGCTTCCATATATGCTTCTGCACATCGCTGTTAGGTTGCTTTGCCGGGATAATTCAACAGTAATTCGCTGATGGGTTCACCAGCGCATGTACTGATGTTGTTGGTGTGATGCTCCACGATTTTGAAGAAGAGCTCCGCCTGTCCACGATTTTGAAGAAGGTCTGCAGGGCTGCAATGACGGTGAGGATTCTGAACGAATCGGGTTTTGTTCTCTGACGGGGCAGGCTGTTCATTTTGGTTGTATTGTGGCCCCGAGGCTTGGAAAGGTACCCCGCAGGGCGAAAGCGGCGAACAAGTTCTGAGGATCATGTTTCTGTCAGAATCGATTTGCACAGCCCCAGGGGGGCCCTTCGGAGGCGCGGAGGAGGCCACAAAAAAAGGAAGGTTCCTCCAGGGCCTCAGGATCCGAAGGCGACCCTTCATATGCTCTTCTGATAGTACAAACGTCGTCCAACGAGTTCTCCGGGAGGGTTGGTTGCCGCTTCCCAGAGAGCTTTACAAACATATGAAATAGTTTGTTCTTCATGTCGTGTCTTTGCAAGACGTTCTAAGAGGTTCCCACAATGTTCTTAAGAGGCTTCCACGAAGCCCTTCCGAGCCCAGGACAACCCAAGAGGCCCAAGCATGTCCCCAAGACAGCCCTGGAAGGCCCCACGAGCCTTCCAGGAGGGCCCCAGGATGCCCCCCGAGAGGGACCATAAACATTCTTGTGAGTCTCACAAGGGCTGGCTGGGGCCCAGAAGCGTATAACACGGGGACCGATCTGAGACCACCCCAGCCTTCTTCCCTTCCTCCCTCCCCTCCCTCCTCTGATATCCCTCCTCCGCTCCAGTTTCCCCCTGCTCCCAGAGGGGCCCCCCACGGAGAGCATAGTGTTCAGCGTGAGGCCTCCTTCGTTCTTCTGCCCTCATCTCTCCTCCTCTCTCCCTCCTTCGTCCACCGACACTCGCTGCTTGCGTTTTCCCTCTTCCATCGTCGCCCCTTCCGTTGGCTTCCATCTCCCCCCCATGGCCCCACAGACCAGAAATTCTGTCCTCCTTTCACTCCCATCACCCACCCTCGCTCCCACCTCTTTCCCCCCCTTCTCCCTCCCTCCTTTCTCGTTCACTCCTGGCTTACTTAATTCATCCTTCTCCCTTCCTGCATCCTCTCTCCTGCCACTTCTGTCCACCTTCTCCTTCTCTCACGCCCTCTCCTACTTCATTTCTCCCACCCTACCCCTCTTCTCCCTCCTCATCGTTCTCATTCCTTCCGCCTCGCATAGGGGCCCGAAAGGGGTCCCCAGAGGGAATTGGAGCACACAGAGACCATCATGAGACGTGTTTTCTTCCCCGTTCCTCACTGTTTCGCTCACACTCCTCCTCCTCCTCCGCCGCCTCCTCCTTCTCCTCCTCCTCCTCCGCCTCCTCCTCCTCCGCCGCCTCCGCCTCCCCCTCCGCCTCCGCCGCCTCCTCCTCCTCCTCCGCCGCCTCCTCCTCGGCCGCCTCCTCCGCCGCCGCCTCCTCCGCCGCCTCCTCCTCCTCCTCGCTCTCCGGCGCTGTGTGGAGGAACACCCCCTGCCGGGCCCCGCCCCCTGGGCCCCCGGTGGACGCCGGGCCTCCGGCCCCGGACGCGGGGGGGCCCCGGGCCCCAGGCACGGGGCCCCGGGGGCCAAGCCGGGCCAGCTCGTGGTGGGATGCTGCTGGAGACCGGACATTGTGGAACAATCGGGAGAAGGATTACTTTGCGCACACGCACATCTGACCGGGCCCCGGCCCGCCCGCGCCGCTCCCAAGGGGCCCGCCTGCCGGCGGGCACGGGGCCCCAGGGGCCAAGTCGGGCATGTCCTTCTACGGGGGATTTTCGACGAAAAATAAAGAATATTCAAAAGATAGCCCAAAATAGTCACACAAAAAAAACGTTCAAAAAATAGACCCCAGACTATTTTTGGACGATGTTTGGGGTATTCTTTATTTTTCGTCGAAAATCCCCCTGTAGGGGGACAGGCCCGACTTAGCCCCAGGGGCCAAGTCGGGCGTGTCCCTCTACAGGAGTGGTATTTCGGGGGTGGACAGACTTCGTACCCTGACAAGGGGATTAGCGAATTGGCCGTTTTCGGTTCGCGAGAGGGCGTCGCGGCCGTCATTTTGCGGATCCAGGTCCGGCGGTCTCGGTCCCGGGCCGTTTTCACTAAAGGGAGGTTTATTAAAGGGAGGTCTGGTCCACAAATACTCCTCGGGAATTTGTCGTGCATTATTGGACAGTGTTGGACATGTTGGAAAAGTGTGGCAGCTTGGCAATTTCGGAAACGATTTCTGGCATTTGGGGAATTTGGGGAACGATTGTTTGGACTGTTTAGGAAAATGTTTGGCATTTGCTGCTTATTTGTCGTCCAGAATCCGCTTGTAGGAGGACATGCCCGACCTAATCTTGGGGCCAGATCGGCCCGATCTGGCAGATCAGCCGCCCTGACTTCTGATCTGGCGTACTCCCCGCAATGTCCGTAGCAGGGCGAAAATGCCCGCCCTGCTTGTCAAGCTCCTTTGACGCCGATTTCCGTCCCACTTTGCCGTCGCTATGTCCGCCATGCCTACAGGCCGTCCCTCGTCGGTGGCGCGGAAGGCCACGGAAGCGGTCAGAATGGTCGGATCAACCAAATCGGCCGGATCAGCTGGATCAGCTTATCAGCCAGATCAGCAGAAAAATCAGCCGCAGCAAGTGGTTCTCAGCCGGATCAACCGGGTCTGCTGGACCAGTAGGATCAAGTTGATCAGCCCGCCAGATTACCAGATCAAGAGGACCGTACAGGATCATCAGCCGTTGGAGTTCTACAGGACCAGCCGAGTCACATGGATCAATTTGATCATTCGAATCAACCAAATCAGCCAGATCCGAATCATCTTGATCAGCCAGATTAACCGGATCAGCCGTTTCACCAGATCAGCCAGCCGGATCACCAGATCACAGGATCAGCCAGATCAACCAGACAATATGGATGTGGTGTTGGTTTTGGTTTTGGTTTAGGTTAGGGTGCCGGTTTTTGTTTCGGTTCGATGTTGGTTTCGGTGTTCGTTTTGGTTTTGGTTATGTTTTCTGTCGGAGGTGAGGGGGTGAGATCGAAGTGGAACGGAGAGCCCCCCTACCGGGAAATCGATTTCGGTTTCGTGTTCGTGCGTGCCGTGCGTGCGGGCGAGGCGAAGTTGCGTGGGCGGGCGAGAGAAAGTCTCCTGTGGCTGAGGCGCGGCCGGACCAAATGTCTCCCTTCCGGGCGGCCGGTGGCCCGCGGTGTCCCGCCGGTGTCCCGCGAAAATCCCGTGTGGCTGAGGCGCGGCCAGACCAAATGTCTCCCTTCCGGGCGGCCGGTGGCCCGCGGTGTCCCGCCGGTGTCCCGCGAAAGTCCCGCGGTGTCCCGCGGTGCCCCGCGGTGTCCCGCCGGTGTCCCGCGGTGTCCCGCGATGATGATGATGATGATGATGATGATGATGATGATGATGATGATGATGATGATGATGATGATGATGATGATGATGATGATGATGCTGATGATGATGATGATGATGATGATGGTGATGGTGATGGTGATGGTGATGGTGATGGTGATGGTGATGGTGATGGTGATGGTGATGGTGATGGTGATGGTGATGGTGATGGTGATGGTGAGAGTGATGGTGATGGTGATGATGATGATGATGATGATGGTGTTGGTGATGCTGATGCTGATGCTGATGATGATTATGATGATGCTGCTGATGATTATGATGATGACGTCGATGATG